AGGTTTCCAAAGTCACGAGGCGCCCAAAGTGATCATCCAAGTTAAACTGGCCATTTTGAATGGGGAAACTAATGGCGAAATGGGGTATACCCAAATGGGGATTCTCAGTGTTTCTTTCTTGGATCTATGCACGATACATAGGGAATTATCGACGGACAATTATCCAACCAAGCATGGGAAGTTAACCTGAAACAATCGGGATTTCATCAGTATCGGGGGATATCAACCAGCAAAACTGGGTTTACATGGGGTTACCCTCCCCTGAACTAACATAACCATGGAAAACGGACCATTTATATATAGATGATTTACCTCGTAGTGATGGTAATTCTTATCCATTTTCCATAGCTATGTGAGTTTTCCGGAGGTTACTTAAAACTATCACTGGCTGTTCGTCGCCGGTTCGCCGAGGTGCCGTAGGATGTTGGAGGGATCCCCACATTGGTTTTAATACCCAAAACTGGCCATCAATGACTTGGATGATTTGGGGATATCCCCATGACTTAGGACACTTCCATTTCTGCTCATGGTTTCATATTTAATTTCTTTTGTATATTCAACCCAACAAATCGTCAGCCAGTAGGATGGTTAATAAATATGTTCTTCAAATAGGATGATCTTCTCCCAATTGACAACTTCCTTCCCCTTAGTAGTAAACACCAACCAAAAACCGTGGTTTACCAGGGCATTTACACATATTTGGGACCACTGAATGGGGGGTGTTTCATATTAGGGGGATGGGATATATGTATCCCATTAATCAATATTTATCAACGGTTGGATATTCCATTAATTATAGCCTATTAAATCACCTCCCATTGAATCACCACTGACTTGCCCCCTCCACCGATTAACTTTAACTTTAATCGACAGACAGAATCACCAATAACTCCATGATATCCCATAAAACCCTGTCATCCCATGTGGTTTCATCCCATGTGGTTTGAAATATGTTTTTTTCCCCCATCCGACGTTTCCAGATGCTGATCCCGCCCAATCCAGGATCGCCTCTTTCCATGGCATGACCGGTGCAAGCCAAGACGTTTTGGGCCCAGTGTCGCACATTTTGGGTTCGCTTTAACGATCCAGTTGCGGAGCTAAGGAGCTGGGGGTATCCATATTCCCCTTTTTTTTTTATCGGGGAACCAAGGAGCTACTAAGAGTTTCCCAACCACATGATAGTTAAAGTTAAACCCTCATGAAAATATTGTTTCTTGAACATGATGCAAAGGTGTAAAGGACCAATTTGTTTCAAAAGTTGGTGGGTTACACCCTGACTTATATCAAACCATTGTTCTAACTTGATATCTGTGACGAACATTTTCCATATCCACAGTTTTCACTATCAACTAATGGGGTACAGTATCTTTTTCATATTAGTGGGATATCTGAAATGTAGATAGCCATTAGATATCCCACTAATATTTTAGATACCCCACTGGAGTTATCCCACTAGCCATTAGTCAGATATCATTAGCCATTAGATATCAACCAATAGTTAGTGGGATATCTCCAGATTTTCTCCTTGTCCTGGCTTCTGGGGCTCAGGCCAAGCGCGCCCGGCGCGAGCATCGACCGCCCACCACGTCCGCGGTACAGGAGCTGAGACGAGTTGGATGTGGCGTTCAGCAACAACACATAGTGAGAAGTGGTGATTTAGCAAACAAAATTGGTGACAAAATGATTTAACAAAGAAGAACTCGTGAAAGATGCTGATTCCACCATGAAACAATGGGAATTCACCTTCAATTCAGCAACAAAAATGATGTAAACATAGGAATTCAACCAACAAAACTGGTGGTATAATGGGATATAGTGGGATGTAAGGGGTTGTAACAGGATATGAAACACCAATGATCAGGGAATAAACATGTTTAAGAGTTGATAAGTTTGACAATAGGGACACCGTTACAGGTATTGTTACAGTTAGACGGGAATCAGAAGTTGATAAGTTGACCAGTAATAACAATAAGAATCAGCTATCTTTAATCATGGGTTAATAATGGGAAATGAGTGGGAACAAAAACCAACAAACATGGAATAATGGACAATGGGGATATACCCTCTGCTTCTTTAATAGTTTGCTATGGAAGCCATGGCCCATGAACATAGATGATACACATGATTTGCCGATTTTAGGGCTTATTGGTTTGTTGGTGTTGAAGTGTATTAACGTGTATCAACCGTATTAACCACCAATAACCACTGGAGGTATTAACCGAGAAGTTAAACAACCAATACATAATACTACTAATTCACTGCTTAACTATGGCTATATTATCGGTAAATAGACTAATACTCAGGAATCTTTGTTCCTAATGGTACTCAGGGAATTTGCGAAGCACCAGCCAATAGTGGAGATGTTGCCCCTGATGTCCTTTTCCCACTGGTTGCTTGATTAATAGAGGGGTCTCCAATATAACAACCGGTAAATGATAATGAATGCTATACTATAATGTGTTTATATTTAATACATGCATATGTATTTTGCTGTACATATATATATATATATATATCCATGTTTTCTCACCAGCAAGCCAATTTGATTGACGTCCGATGGTGCATCTCGCCAGGACTTCCCCCTGGCCACAGCGACACCGGTGCATCGAATGGCGCAGGCTTCGACAGCACTTGGGGATGAAGTTTATCCAATACGGCGATAATATGGTGATTATAGATGGCTTATGATGGTTAATGATGGTTAGTAGTGGTTAATAATGGCGATTAATGGTATCCAATAGGTGATTAATATGGTGATTCAATAGGTATTAATGGTGATCATATGGTGATAGTATGGTGATAATATGGTGATTAGCCTCTGGTAAACTAACAGTTTGCAATGGAAAATCACAATTTTTAAAGGGGTAAAGAAAATCATTAAATCATCTAAAGACATGGGGCAATTTTCCATTGTAAATAAGCAGATCGTAACCATTTTATGGGGATATTTTGGGGAGATGATGGGATATCTAAACAACGATATATGGTTTGCCTGTGGGGTCATCAAACATGGCCAAGTGAGTTTCAGAGGGTAAACAGTGGCTGAAATTGATCGTTTTCAGTATTTAGCCCAATCTAAACATGTCAAACATGACCCCAGAACTGATTGGTTTGATCATGTTTTGAATATTCAAAGGCCACATTTCCATTTGTTCTCTCAGTGACTCGACACAGATTCGCACCTCGTTCAGGCCATGTTACTACCGTGCCACAAAGGAGTTTCTTGCTGGTTCAGTTTAAAACTTGTGGTGATTTTCGTATGATTCCCGATTTAGTTGGTCAAATCATGTAAAATCCCCAATTTGATATGTCAGACCATGTTAACTCCCATTTTTGGTGCTTAAACCACCCAACTATGAGCATGATCCGTTCTATATATCCGATTTTCGGGATACCCAAGGACTTGACACGACACCCACATCGACCCATGTAGCTGCCAAGGGGAATGGCAATGAGGTGAGTGTGAGGGCGCCCAGATTTAGGCAAGAAAATTAGTGGCAATTATAGAACCGCCCACAATTCATATGGATATTTTATGGGATAGATATATTTCACCAACAATATATATATATATATACGTCTATCTATCTATCTATCTGTCTATCTACCTATCTATCTATCTACCTATCTATCTATCTATCCCCGCAAGGCCCATCAATTTAGCAGATTGGTCCATATTTACAGTGTTTTTTTTTTAAACACACTTCTTCCTTTTAAGCTTGGGGTATTTTGTTGTGTCAAAGCATTGCAGTTTTTTGCAATTTGTTCCCATCCCACCCTTCCCATACTGACTCGGATTCAAGGCTCCAAAAAAAAATCTTGAATCCAAGGGATTCAAAATACGATCCTTTGGGTATGCAGTATTCCTCTTGAAAGGGTATACCCTCTGGTAATTTAACGTAGCTATTGAAAATCACCATGATTAATGGGAAAATCCACTATAAATGGCCAGTTTCAATAGCTATGTTAAATTACCAGAGGGTATTCCTCTTGAAAGGGTATACTATTCCTTTAAGAATGTGGTGCGATATATCTCATGGACTATTCCCTTCAGCATAAGCAAAACATTGGATACACTGTTCCTTTTTGAGAAAGGATGTATTTCCCTCCAACAAGCAGGTGCCGCCTCAAAAAAACGGAAGGCTGACCAAAATCTGAAAAGGTAGGTGTTGGGGGGTAGGATATTATGTGTGTGTGTAATATATATATATATTACGTATATATATATATACAATATAAATATATATTATATTATCATATACTGTATACATACATATATATATATACGTCTATCTATCTATCTATCTATCTGTCTATCTACCTATCTATCTATCTATCTACCTACCTATCTATCTATCTATCTATCTATCTATCTATCTATCTATCCCCGCAAGGCCCATCAATTTAGCAGATTGGTCCATATTTACAGTGTTTTTGTTTTTTTAAAACACACTTCTTCCTTTTAAGCTTGGGGTATTTTGTTGTGTCAAAGCATTGCAGTTTTTTGCAATTTGTTCCCATCCCACCCTTCCCATACTGACTCGGATTCAAGGCTCCAAAAAAAAATCTTGAATCCAAGGGATTCAAAATACGATCCTTTGGGTATGCAGTATTCCTCTTGAAAGGGTATACCCTCTGGTAATTTAACGTAGCTATTGAAAATCACCATGATTAATGGGAAAATCCACTATAAATGGCCATTTTCAATAGCTATGTTAAATTACCAGAGGGTATTCCTCTTGAAAGGTATACTATTCCTTTAAGAATGTGGTGCGATATATCTCATGGACTATTCCCTTCAGCATAAGCAAAACATTGGATACACTGTTTCTTTTAAGAAAGGATGTATTTCCCTCCAACAAGCAGGTGCCGCCTCAAAAAAACGGAAGGCTGACCAAAATCTGAAAAGGTAGGTGTTGGGGGGTAGGATATTATCTGTGTATATATATAATGTATATATACATACATAATGTATATATATATATATATAATGTATATATATATATTATGTATATATATATGTATATTATGTATATATATATATTATGTATATTTATATATATTATGTATATATATATTATGTATATATATATTATGTATGTATATATATATATATATATGTATATTATGTATATATATATTATGTATATTTATATATATTATGTATATATATATATTATGTATATATATATATATTATGTATATATATATACAATATAAATATATATTATATTATTATATACTGTAAATATATATATATATTTAAATACATATATATATATGTATATGTATGTATGTATATGTATGATATTCGGATTTTCGACTAAACACGGGGGATTTACTCCCTAATATACGGGGTTTTAGAAACCATTTTTTTTGTACCCAATTTTTAGATAGATCCAAATGCCTAGTTAACCCATCGAACAGATGATGTCTGGTTGATGCTTAGTCGTTGTTTTTAAGTGAAACCATTTCCAGCCAACTGCTTCCGTCTTTTCACAAAGTGTTGGATTTGTTCATTTTGGGCTCCTATAGAGGAGGGATTTGGTTCTTCGGGTGATGGGATGCGTCTTGATTTACGGTAATTTACCAATTCCCATTCATTCTGGCCATCCCCTTCTGTAATCTAACGAAGCAATACAACACTCCCCATTCACATATATTCACATATATTCACATATAATCACATCACGTATAGACGATGTGTGAATTTCCTCAGCAAAAATGCGGGGATGTCAAGGTTTTCTTGTTTGAAAACGGCCTGTTTTGGGTCCTGAAAACGACGAAGGTGGAAGAGTTACTCCAGGCCCCGACGGCCCGACAGCCGGGTGGCCTGGTGTCGAGGATTGGATCCAGCGATTACTGAAGGGTAACCATGGGAAAACCATAGGAAAACCATAGGAAAACCATAGGAAAATGGAGGTTTACCCTCTGGTGAACGTTTACATAGCAATGGAAAATGGCCATAGAAATAGTGGATTTTCCCATGAAAAATGGTGGATCTTTCCATTGCTATGTAAACGTTCACCAGAGGGTAATCACCAGCAATTTTTTGGAAACTAGTCATTCCAACAGCCTATTTGGTAGGGTCTATGTTAGTTGGGCGGTAGGAGGTAGGTTAAGCCAAAAACCCAAGCCATGGAGATTTTTTAAGCATCTATTGATAGCGGTCGCTGGATTTGGAAGATGTGTTTTCACAATTGTTCAAAGATAGGGGGATACTGATACACCCTTTCAAGGTTATTCCAATGTAGAAACGATGATCAACCATACAATAAGATTTTCAGGTACCTATGGGTACCCTATCTTCCGTCAAACCAATCTGTGGACGGCTTCATCATCCAGAGGACCAATTTTGGTGGGTCCAGTGGGACCCCATTTTTGAACGGTCCCCCATTTGGGAAGTGGACCATGTTTGGCATCCAGGTAAAAATTCAGGGCAGTGTTCATAACATGGCCCAGTTTTGTTGGTCAGAGTCAGATTTACAATTGTCAAGTACATCGCGGGTGATGAGTTGTATCTACCTTTGTTGCTGACGACATTCCTTTGGTGGGAGGAAGTGCCCCCGCTGGTTGCTGCGATGCCGCCCCCATCAGATCTTTTTCGGGACCCGCTACAACCGACGAATTTAAAACGGATCAATCCTGGCGCAATCGTCTATTAAGATTTTATTTTTATACAGCATACTCGTGCTGTATATAGATATAAATATATAGACAAATAGTCTAATAATCTTTGTTGTTGGTGATGGTGACATCAATTAGTGGTCTTTTTGTCGGTCAACATCCAATTTCTGATGTTTGGCTAGCCTTTTGGGTTTGTCTGATACTTTTGGGTCAGTGTTTCTGTGCTGGAAAATCCCTATTTGTGATCAACTCCACATTTTTGAGGTTAAACACATGCTGGTTTGCATCAATCCACTCGTGTTGCTTAAATCCAATTTTTTGTTTGGTTGGTGAAAGTTCTAACGCGTTTTTGGATTACAGTAAATCTCAATGTCCGATCCTCAAATCCAGCATTTTTAATTTGTTATATTCTCAAAGATTCTTAAACCCCCAGTGTTGACCAATTCTTGATAGATATGTACGCATATATATATATGTATACAGATTATGTATACATGTATACATGTATACGTGTATACATCTATATCTATATCTCATATCTATATCTATATCTATGTCTATGTAAATTTATATTTTTATAGTGGATGTATATACACGTCTGTATCATAGAAACCTTAAATCCCCAGCTTTTTGTCGCATAAGGCGTCAGCTGATCGATCAGGGAGACGAACTTCGACAGCTTCTAGCCGAGCCGACGGCGCGGCAGAGCCCGGGGCCCCCGGTGGATCGGAAAACTAGGTGGGAAATCCTACGAATATTAATATAGAGATAGTTTAATAGATAGTTTTTTAATAGGTTATATATATATATGTATATATATATATATATACATATGTGTGCCATCTATAATAGGATACATACATCTATGGAAAGTCAGCTGATATTTCACCCGGAAAACTGCTGGTCCAAGGTGGGTTGCCCTTCTTTTTTTTGGGGGCCCACTTATGACTGCAACTGCACTCCCAAGTACAAGGTGGGCCCCCCCTAGATATTTAAGTATGGTTTATGGTAGGTAGTATACATACACACATATGTATATATATATATATACATACATGGCATTCGTGGGGTCCATAAGCCAGCAATGTCTGGGGATGCAGTTATATTGGTACAAGGTGGGGCCCCAAACGATAGCTAAGTTGGTTTAGTTCACGGTGAATTTTGTGGTTTATGGTAGATATAACCATAGTTACTGGGGGCTATAGGCCAGCTTATAACTGAGATATTTTATGGGGTGTATGATATATGATAACCTGTGATAATGACTCACATTTTGCCATGAAAATGGTGGTAGGGATATAGTTAACCATGCAAACTGGGGTTTGAAAGAATCCAAATCGCGGTTTAAACATTAAACATTGGGATTTAGTGGAATATGCATGGGATATAACCAAGTCTGAACATGGATTGAACCACCAGTTGGCCAAACCACTATGTATAATGATGATTAAACATACACTTTTGAGGTACTATGGGGTACTCTTTTTTGACAGACACAAATGGGATTTCAACCAAACGACATGGGGTTGGGGTTGGTGGTGAAACCTGGCTTTATGACCATCGACATCTTTGCAGTTTCTCCAGCAAAAACGAGGATATCAGCCAACAGCCAGGAAAAATTGAGCGTGTAACAAGGCTTTGGTTTTACCCACAAACATGTTATAGTCATAGTATAGAATTAAAAACTGCACAAACAGCGCCAGAATTATCTTTACTCTTCCTTTCCCTGTCCCAGAGGACCTTGGACGCACCATCTCCCACAAATATCTTTCTTTTGGGTGAAAGACGCACTTCTCTGACGCACTTCCCCATGATTACTCCCAGAGATCCAACAGAGATTGGCTCTCCGGTGGTCAGGAGGGAGCGGTTCGGAGCTACGGGTTACCAGATGATATTCCCTACAAAATAAGAGCCAGTTGGAGCTACGAATTGAGTTACCAGATGATAGGTTAGGATGACCCATCATTTTTTACGGGGATCTTGTTGGTGGATATACCAGGAACATTTTTTTTTTCAACACGGGGATATCATGATCAGCAGGATTTATTTTCACCAATCTTAACTTGGCCCTGAGGCTTCACTGCACAGAAATTCATGAATAAGTCCGGCGACCTGGATCCAAGTGATGGGATGCTAGCTTTCTTAAGACCTTCTGGAAAGGCTATGGAGGGGATGCCACTGTTGAGGTCATCCCCAAGGGGGTGTTTGGGGGTGAGAAATCAATGGCTAGAACTCTCGTGTATATATATATATATACATATATACTTCCATAAATTATATATATTGACTTCCATAAGTTATATATTGACTTCCATGAGTTATATATATAAATAAGAAAATGTGTATATCTCTATATATATATATATATATTGACTTCCATAAGTTATATATTGACTTCCATAAGTTATATATATAAATAAAAAATGTGTATATCTATATATATATATATATTGACTTCCATAAGTTGTATATTGACATCCATAAGTTATATATTGACTTCCATAAGTTATATATATAAATAAATAAATATGTATATCTATATATATATATATTGACTTCCATAAGTTGTATATTGACTTCCATAAGTTATATATATATAGACTTCCATAAATATATATATATAGGGTATATATATATATATATTGACTTCCATAAGTTATATATATATATATTGACTTCCATAAGTTATAGTTATAGTTATGTATATATATATATATATATTGACTTCCATAAGTTATATATATATATATTGACTTCCACAAGTTATATATATATATATTATGGAAATTGACTTCCATAAGTTGGGAAATACTGTAACCCCACAGCTATGTTGAAATATCACTGACATATTAGTGGGACAGCACCCCCAAGTCCACACTTGGTGGCAATGCCAGGAGTCAAAGCATGGCGCAATTCTGCGCCCACGGCAGCCGCGACGACTGCCGCAACTTGACGTGGGTATAGTATGGGGAGCCTGCGCCAACAATATCTCTCTCTCTCTCTAAAAATGTATATATATATATCTATATACATATACACAACACAACATAACATAACATAACATTACATTACATTACATTACATAACCTAACATAACATCACATTACATCACATTACATTACGTTACATTACGTTACATTACATACATACAGACACACAAACACAAACACAAATATACATACATACATACATACATACATACATACATACATACATACATACATACATACATACATACATACATACATACATACATACATACATACATACATACATACATACATACATACATACATACATACATACATACATACATACATACATACATACATACATACATACATACATACATACATACATACATACATACATACATACATACATACATACGTACCTACATACATACATAGCTACCTACCTACATACATACCTACATGTTCTGAAGTCGCATGCAATTGTCGCCTTACCGAAACGATCCTTTCCATCCCATCAACCTGTCTGGTTAGGACCCCAAGATGTAACTAGTACAAAACCAGGTTTGATGCAACGTTGTTCCCCCCTGCCAGGTGATGGGAGTGTCATATTGAACCACTGAATTCCGTCACTGGTGGCAGGTGATACTCCCCATCGTCAGTGTTAGTTTAGGTCTTCAAAAAAAACAAAAACATCAGCTACCACTACCCCACCTGCAATTGCCCGGCCTTGAAAACCAACAGCCAGTTATCTTACCTCAGTGCCCCCTAGTTAGGCGAATTTGAATGGGACAGTGATAACCACCCACCCCAGCCATCAGACTTGGGTATTCGTCCCAGTTATGAACGGGATAGGAAACAACGATGATTTGTTCGCCCAGCCAGAAAAAACAGGATCACCCCAGTTATGTCGATGATACAGCACATATCTAGATGAGATATTCCCCAAGTACGTCCAAATACATTATACAGTATATCATAATTACATTATTATATCATATACACTTATACACATCTAATGAATACTGTATCTATCTAATGTCAGCAGGCCCAATCCACTCAGGAGCTGCCAGCGGCTTCATGTCTGCCTGTGTCAGCCACCCAGCGTATTCGGCGGTTGAAGAGCAGCCAACCAATTGTGGATTTGAATTTAAACCAACAGGTACTTTATACAACTCTTCATGATGCAATGATTCAAACAAACATGTTCTCATATCATATATATATATATACATATATTTGTATATATATATGTATATATGTATATATATATTTACACATACACACATATATATATATGTATCACAATAGTGCAAGTATATTTTAAACATATACTTTATTCCCACCGTATTCCCAATGTACATTCCATCGATTTCCGCGAGGCCAAGATCCATTTCCGCAAGGTCATCAAACCCTGGACCGACGAGTCGTCCCTCAGCGAAGATTGGGCATGAAGAGATGGATGTTTTACCACAAATAATGGTATAATTATGATCTATGGAGGATATAATGGTAAATATTTTTTCAGAAAAATGGTAAATAACTCCAATACCTATGATTTCTGGGGGATATAACTATGATTTATGGAGATTTTGCCAGAAAAAACTGTTGGTTTATTCCATTTATTCCCATGTTTGTTGCTTCAATCATCATTGTTCATAGTTAAATCAAAATTTTTGGACGGTTGAAACAGCATGTTTACATCATCATGTTTACCCTCCGGTCATCAAACATAGCGAAATCCACCAATTTATAAATGATGTTCCTATGAATACCTCTATTAATAGGGATTTTCAATTGCCATGTTGGATTACCGGAGGATGTTTAACCATGAAAATTGGGGCGACAAAGATGTTGATTTAACCATCAAACATGGTGGATTTAGCCATGGAAAACTGGAGATTCACCGGCAAAAAAGGGTTTTTCACCATCAACGAGAATGGAATCCAGGGGATTGTATATATGTATATATATATATAGATATACACATACACATACCAACAAACTCGGGTATGACTTGGAAAAAACAAAGCATACCAACAAAGCCATAAGACTTTCTGACTTGGCTTTCTGGATTCGGTGTTTGAGTCGGTGGTTTGTCGGTGGTTCATCCACCATTTGGGGTTTCCCCAATGGTTTTGGATGAAGCAACTGGGAAACAGAATTTTGTTGAACCTACGGTTGCTGGAGAACTGGATTCCACTCTTGGATTGTGATTGACCCCAATAGTAATACAGGTTAGTATAATCCCGGAACTAATCAGCAACCAACAGGGGGTTTTGAACACTGCTCCATGGTTTCCCAAATGAACCAGTATGATTGACTAAGATGACACCAAGATGCTGGGAACAATCCGTGATCATCCACAAATATGCGCGCGTTTTTCGCACGTCAATAATCAAGAACACATGGATACGGGGAAAAGGCAAACCAAATCTTTGAGGCTACCGGCTCTACCCCAGAGCATCAATGGAGAGATTTTCTAACGTGAGCATTTTTATTACGGGGGAACCAATGGTTTTGGGTCCCCCAGTTTGGGAACCACCCAATTAATTATACACAAAACAGACTTGACAATATCCCCCATCCATAATTCATTGTTCATGGATCCAGAATTGGAAAAATCCAACGTGCCACCGGCAGGTTGGGAGATTGCTCTTACCTGGATACTTGTCAGAGCCCCGGGTTACCTGACGGTGAGCTGGTTGACTAGAAAGCCATCTTGGCCTGGGTTCAAAGGGTTCATATCTATATTTCGGATGGACCCCAGAGGCAACACAAACACACCAATTTTGGAAGTCTTTGGAAGATTGTGTCTGCAATGCAATGTTCGTGGGATAGAGGGATTCGGTGGTTTCGTAGTTTTTGGGCGGGCAACCGTGCTGGATTGGAGGATTCGCGAATTTCAGACGTACTGGAGTATGCGTGGGAGGTATGCCACAATTCTGGGTGTTAGCATCACTTTGATTGCCGATTTAAGCGGGTGACGTTGCCAAGCGCGGGTGGCTATTGTGCGGGGGACATTGAGGCCGGCACATTGAGAAATGCAAGTACGTTCACTATGCGCCCGGAAGCTCTGGACGACAGTGGATCCAACTGGCCTCTGAAGCCATCACCGGACTGCGACTGCTCGCAGCTTCAGAGCTTCTTCCGACCACCAGGGACTAGACTAGACATGGGTTTTGCGTCTTAAGGAATCAAGACTTCAGGGTTCAAGAAGAGTAACTCCTGAAATCTAACATATAACATATCCAACATGGAAATTCCCATGGTCAGTTGGGTTCCATGTTACCCTCTGGTATTTTTTCAACATGGCGGGCTCGAAGATCCTCCATTCGCAGGTTGGACCTCACCCTCGAGCAGACCAGGTATTTGCAGGAACGTGGCCACCTGACAGCAGTGGTGGAAAAATGTGGAATTGATATGATCCAAAGCTGGAAACAAGCCACTTGAAATCGCAGGGGTTCTGAAACAAAATTGCAAGCCATTGTGATTTTGGAGATGGTATGTTATTGGGTTTAGCGCAAAAAAAGTCTTATTGAACAAGGCATCTACGGTTGGCAGCGCATAAGTCTAGCTTGCACCACGTATCTGGATCCCAGTTGAAAGGTGGAGGTATGACTAGGGTTTTTGCCTGCAAAGATGCGTCCTCCACATCATGCACATCTCCATCTCTCTCTATATTCACATATATATATATACATATACATATTGATATACGATTATATACATATACACATACACATACACATACACATACACTTTACGGTTACCAACACACATGGATAATCACAATATGTACTCATACATATATATATATATACATAGGTATATGGTCACACCCCCATGATCTACCTTGGTTACTTCAGACTTTGCACCACATTGTTGTTGTTGTTGTTGGTTGTTGGTTGTTGTTTGTTGTTTGTTGTTGTTGTTTTTTTTTTAAAAAAAAACACAAAAAACGAAAAGAAACAAAAACACAATGTGGAGGGCCCATGGAGAAACCAACAAAAACAAAATACAATAAACAAACAGTGGTAGAATTCGCATGTATCTTGGGTCTTGGGTATCTTTTTTCTTGCAATGGAGATATGTGCTAGGTAGATCGGGTGCGACCTCAGCTACCCTGAGGTGTTCACAATCGAGGCACCGACACCAAGCGCATCAACGAGCTGGTGATGAAAGGTATCAACCTCCCAGCGTGCAGGACTCATTTCGCAAATCAGCTGCTGGCACGCTATCATCGTTTTGCAAATGGGGATCATTTTTTTTGGAACGACAGTAGTAAACCCTCTGGTAATCAAAGATTTTCCATAGCCATGTTAGGTAACCATTTCGGGTACGTCCAATCCAATCGAAAACGTTTGCAAACCAAAAGGGAATGTGTGCGGAGCAAACATGTAATACTGTACCAACATATCCCGGCCAAACTCAGGTATTTTTCGTCAACAAGACAAGATCGAATATGTCCATTGACATGTCCCCAAAATGCGGAGGATGAACGCATCACACTTCGAACAAATATATATATATATAGATATAAAACTATATATATATAATTTATCTATACACTATATATATATATATATATGTTCTTTGTTTTCGTTTGGAGGAGTTTTTTGTTGTTTTCGCACTCGCCGAAACGAAGACCGCCAAATGACCCGCCTTCAGCATCCACGTGAGTTGTCAATGATCAAGCCTTTTGGAGCTGCTGGACAGCTGGACAACACCAATCCTGATACCCTCCGGTAAACAAACAAAAAACTATGGAAAATCACCATTGTTTATGGATAAATCCACTATAAATCACCATTTTCAATAGCTATGTTAAATTACCAGAGGGTACCAAAGATGATCTCAAAAATGGAGCGCTACTTGAAACGTTTGGAGCATGGCTGAGCATACTGAAGCAAGGTCACTGAGTGACCAGGGGGTCACTTTGCTGGGTGGTCGTCTTTGGCCGAGGCAATGGATTCATTGCGACTTGCGGTCCTTCCCCTTGTCCATCTTCAAAGGCTGGACATTGGTCTTCCATTTCAACATTTGAAGACCCAAATGGTGGATTAAAAGGAAGAACCCCTGAATAATACACACTATATTTGTATATTTTGTATATACATACACAAGCTGATATGTATGTGTATATATATATGTAGATATGTATATGTATATGTATATGTATATGTATATGTATATGTATGTGTATGTGTATGTGTATGTGTATGTGTATGTGTATGTGTATGTGTATGTGTATATGTATGTGTATATGTATATGTATACGTATACATACACACGCATGTGCAAACACACACATATATATATACAGTATATGTATACACGCACACACACACATTCACACACACACACACACGCACTCTTGAATGTCCCTGTATGCAATGTAGATTCTGCTGATACGATTTGGCCAACTGAGCTGCATGTGGAACATGCATGAACATGGTAAGTTATTGGTAGTTGGAAAGATGCCAGGTTCTTGTGCGCAGTTGCCTTTGGGGTGGCTCCCCGTTTTATGTCAGCAGAGGGTGCTGAAACTGTTGCTTGATGTCGTGTGCAGGAGAAAATGGCGATCAAACTACCTACATATTCTACATGTTACTGTGTTTATTTGTGGCTTTACCACTACATCCATCCATCCGTCCATCCATCCATCAATCCATCCATCCATTCATCTATCTAGACAGACAGACGAATAGATAGATACACTATATTTGGATAAGATAAGAATAAGACTAGATTAGATTACAGTAGATTAGATGAGATAAGATCGACAGATAGATATCTGTATATGTATAATTATATATGTATATATATATATATACACACACACACGCATATTTACCGATGTTTTTCTTCGTGCCTGGTGTTTTTCAGGTCTCATCAGCGTCGTGATGGCGGACCCTCCCTGGGATATTCACATGGAGCTGTTGGGGAAGCTCAGATTTCCCATGGGCTTCCCATGGTGGGAATGGAAACCAACACTGGATTTATGGGGATTTATGGGGATGTCAATGGGGATTGACGGGGATTTCATAAGATTTTATATGGGGATTTCATGGGGATTTCAATGAGTTTTGATGTATTTTTAATGGATGTTCAAGTGGATTTTCGTCCTTCATGTTTTAAAAACAACCCCCAACTAACAAGTCGACCCTGAAAAGTTGAGGGTATGGTATTGGCCACACCTAAAATGAATCATGGATACGCGGCTAAACATGTGATGATATGGGTGATAATTTACCATATGGATAATGATATGGATAACAATGTGGATATGAATATGGACCATTATATGATTCTGATAGAGTCATTTGGTGTAGTAGTCACAGTATATAGCATATATACCCTCTGGTAAACTAACATAACTATGGAACATCACCATTTTTAATGGGAAAACTCACTATAAATCACCATTTTCAATAGCTATGTTAAATTACCA